TTTTTAGGCCCAGTAACCATGATGACTTCTCTGGGTGTGGGTCCCCTGTGTAGAGGTGGGCTTAGAGGGATGAGTGTTGAATCCTAACTATCCTATGTGCTCAGTGTTCACCTTAGTGAGTTTAATTAATCAGTAAAAAGACAAGTGACACTTGCCAAGACCCATCTGTGCCGGGCACTTTATGGTTATCATTATATTTGACCTCACAATAATTTATGTGGTTGCTGGTATTCCCTATTTACAGACGATGGAAACGAGACCTCATAATTGCAGTGACTTTCTCCAAGTGGTGAGTGTGTAAACATGCCACCAGGACTCAGTCTCCATCTGTCCAACTCCAAAGCCAAGGTTCTTTCCACATGACTCTGTTGCTTTCTGAGCTCATGAGCTCAGGATAAATCATTACTTTAATTGAAAATAAATATAACTCACCAGGCATGGTGGCTTACGTCTGTAATCCCAGCACTTTGGGAGGCCAAGGCGGGTAGATCACCTGAGGTCAGGTGTTCGAGACCAGCCTGACCAACATGGAGAAACCCCGTCTCTACTAAAAATACAAAAAATTAGCCGGGCATGGTGGCGCATACCTGTAATCTCAGCTACATGGAAGGCTGAAGCAGGAGAATTGCCTGAACCCAGGAGGCGGAGGTTGCGGTGAGCCGAGATCACGCCATTGCACTCCAGCCTGGGTAACGAGCGAAACTCCGTCTCAAAAAAAAAAAAAAGAAAGTTAATGTTGCATGTTAAGTACCTGTAATTCCCAATAATAAGAAATTTTTTTTTTTTTTTTTTGAGACGGAGTTTCGCTCGTTACCCAGGCTGGAGTGCAATGGCGTGATCTCGGCTCACCGCAACCTCCGCCTCCTGGGTTCAGGCAATTCTCCTTCCACGTAGCTGAGATTACAGGTATGCGCCACCATTCCCGGCTAATTTTTTGTATTTTTAGTAGAGACAGGGTTTCTCCATGTTGGTCAGGCTGGTCTCGAACTCCTGACCTCAGGTGATCCACCCGCCTCGGCCTCCCAAAGGGCTGGGATTACAGGCTTGAGCCACTGCGCCCGGCCTAGCAACATTAACTTTCAATCCTTGGCTTGTTCCAAGCTGCCCTGGAGAATGGCTCCATAGAGATGTTGTCATATGTTAGAAAACCATAGTGAATTTCCCATGGGCAAGGGTTTGGATGTTTTTTATCTTTTACAATCATTCTGAACAAATGAAAGCAACATTTTTCCCCCCTCAAAATAAATATAAGGCTGGGCATGGTGGTGGCATGCCTGTAATCCCAGCACTTTGGGAAGCCGAGGCAGGTGGATCACTTGAGGCCAGGAGTTTGAGACCAGCCTGGCCAATGTGGTGAAACCCTGTCTCTACTAAAAATACAAAAATTAGCCAGGAGAGGTGGCACAAGCCGGTAGTCCCAGCTACCCGGGAGGCTGAGATAAGAGGATCAGATGAGCCTGGGGGGTGGAGGCTGCAGTGAGCCTTGATCACGCCACTGTACTCCTGCCTGGGTAACCAGTGTGAGAGACGTTGCCTCCAAAAAAAAAAAGGAAATGAAAAAAAGAAAAGAAAAGAAAAATATAAAAGCATAGTGCCACAATCAATAGGGCCCAACTCCTGTAAAGCTGAACTGCTGTAAAATAAAGGTATACATCCCTCAGTTCTAAGCTCCGTGTTTCCAATGCTTGAAAGGCCAGGATTTCCATTTTATGAAAGAAAGAAAAAAAAAAGAATAAAACATGAGAGAACAAAATAGCCATGACATTTTGGGTGTGTGCTCAGATCTGCCAGGAAGTTTCCTTCTGGTAGATTTTCACGGCAGGCTGGGGCCACAGATAGGGTATGGGCTTCACAGAATCAGAACAAGAGTTAAAATCCTCACTCTGGCTGACGTCCTTTTTGGCCTCAGCCCACCTGCACCCAGGTGATAAAAATAAAAAATAAAAGATCCTCACTCTTTCACAGACGGCTATTTATATTTCTTGAACCTCAGTTTCTTTTTCTATACAATGGGGGGACTGCAAGAACTAAACAAATAATGTGCATAAAGAACAAGTATATTCTCCATCCCACTCTCAATTCAAAATAGACTTGTGCCATGTGTGATAACTATCATCTTCCTTTTTTTTTTTTTTTTTTTTTTGAGACAGAGTCTTGCTATGTTGCCCAGGCTGGAGTGCAGTGGCACAATCTCAGCTCACTGCAAACTCTGCAACCTGGGTTCAAGAGATTCTCCTGACTCAGCTTCTCGAATAGCTGGGATTACAGGCACTCACATCACCACACCCAGCTAATTTTTTGTATTTTTAGTAGAGATCGGGTTTCACCATGTTGTCCAGGATGGTCTCCATCTCTTGACCTTGTGATCCGCCTGCCTTGGCCTGCCAAAGTGCTGGGATTACAGGCATGAGCCACCGCGCCCGGTCAACAATCATCTTCTTAACTCCTTACTTTGGGCTGAAGCTTTTCTACAGATCATCTGAGGGAAATCAGTATTTCAGCTCAGTTGCTCACAAGCCAATTATTGGCTTCAGATGAAAGGCTTTATGAGTAATTGCTTCAGCAGAAAGCAGGTGCCCGTGAGGATCCAGTGGTCCTGTGCGAGGGTCCTGGCTGATGTGGCTGGAGATTTGGCCCAAAGTGGGGAGGACTAATAACCCCTCACCCTCTCACACTGCAAAATTAGTACCACTGCTTTCCGCTCCCTTGGATTGGTTTCCCTACTAGACTAGGCATATAATAGATGTCCAAAAAAATGCTTGTAGGATAAATAAATGCAAATAAACTGAACCGTTTACCTATGTAGGAAACATTTTATGCTTAATTCTCTATCTCCTCTTAATGACATGCTTCAACAGATTTTTTTTTTAAGTTGTTAATTCTCCACCATCATCCAGTTCAAGGGCCATCAAGCATTTATTCAACATCTTTTTTTTTTTTTTGAGACAGAGGCTAGCTCTGTCGCCCAGTCGGCTCACTGCAACCTCTGCCTCCCAGGTTCAAGCAATTCTCCTGCCTCAGCCTCCCAAGTAGCTGGGATTATAGGTGCCTGCCACCATGCCCAGCTAATTTTTGATGGGTGTTTCACTGTGTTGGCTAGGCTAGTCTCAAACTCCCGACCTCATGATCTGCCTGCCTCGGCCTCCCAGAGTGCTGGGATTACAAGAGTGAGCCACCACACCCAGCCTTCAGCACCTATTATTAATGTAGAGGGCTAAGGATTACATATGTAATCCATTAGAAAGCATTAAAAAACAACAAAGCCCAGCGTAAAAATATTCAGCTATGAAATGCATAATACTTTCCAGGTAGCATTGACTTTTGTAGCTGTTCTGTTCATGTTAATTTTCTAATTTGCATTCCCTGAGCTCTTATTAAGCAGTCAAGGTGGGCAGACTGGGAAAGTGTCCTGGGAAGCAACATCAGAATTAACGTGGCAACATGCCAAAACCCCATTTCTACAAAAATTAGCTGAGTGTGGTGGTATACACCTGTGGTCCCAGCTACTTGGGAGGCTGAGGTGGGAAAATCACCTGAGCCTGGGAGGTTGAGGCTGCAGTGAGCAGAGATTGCACCACTGCACTCCACCCTGGGTGACAGAGCCGGACTCTGTCTTGAAGAAAAAAAAAGATTTAACAAGGCTAAAATTTGGAACATCGTTTAGTAATGAGACCTTGCAAAACCTCAATTTCATTATCTGCAAAATGGAAATAGTGTCCTCTCCCCTCCCTTTCTCCCAGCAGAGAAATAAGAGCTTGAAAGAATGAGGACCCAAAGCTGGCTTGAGATTGGTTGTCTCATGCACATTCTTTTTGCTCTCTTCATTCTGTGCAAAAGGCAAACAAGAATGAAATGGTAACAGGCACATCCACCGAAGCAAAACAGGTCATAGGAAGATAATATATTGACTGAAGGACAAATAAAAGTCAGCTGTAGCTGGGCCCAGAATGAGTAGGTGAAAATAACTGGGAAGGAGAAAAGGTATGTCCTTTTTTATAGAACAGGTTTTTTTTTTTTTTCTTTTTTTAAAGACAGGGTCTCACTGTCGCCCAGGCTGGAGTCTGGTGGCATGATCAAGACTCACTGCAGCCTCAACTTGCTGGGCTCAAGTGATCTTACCACCTCAGCCTCCCAAGTAGCTGGACTGCAGACGTGTGCCACCATGCCTGGCTGATCTTACTTTTTATACAGATGGGGTCTCACTCTGTTGCCCAGACTGGTCTTGAACTCCTGCACTCAAGCCATCCTTCTGCCTTGGCCTGCTAAAATGCTGGGATTATGAGCCACAGTGGCTGACCATTAAAAAAGTAAAGTAAAATAAAATGAAATAAAATGATAATGATGCTGCTGAGACAAAATTGTTTAGCTTATGTTAAATGAAGGCACCAGCTCACAAAATTTACTTAAAATGACTGGATATACAAGACCATGTGTACATATGAATCACACTGGAGGAAGAGTACTTGGCAAACAAAAGCAGCTTATTTATTAGGATGATAGAATTGCCTTGCCTAGTGCCTGGAATCAAACACATGTTTAATAAATGTGTTGAAAAAAGTGAGAAAATTTGATATGCCATGTTATAACTTATGAATACTGGTCTCTGTTAGCCAGTCATTCAGAGATGATACCATCCCTTTTTGACATAATTGTATTGTTTTACTTTTTTTCCCTTTACTTCATGCAATACTATTTCCAAAGAAATTGGTGTCATCAGAAAAGTTTGCAGAGTCCAGGAACATGGGGCTTAGTACAGAGAACTGGATAAAGGTCACTCATGCATTTGATATGTAAAGCCAGGAGAAGCATTTGCAGATAAGCAGGAGACCTGCTGTTTATTCATTAGTTGGCTGACTGTCCTTGGGAAAAACCACCCTTTAGGGGTTAGTCAACAGATCTGTGACTGGGTTTAGATAGCTGCAGGCCCTGAAGTACTTTAAATGTGAAAGGTCAAGATCAAACACACTGGGTCAACGAAGACAGATGAGCTCTTCAAAGAGTTAATATTTGAAAACTTTTATTTTCTCAAATGAGCACCAACACAGATTGGAAATATGACGGAAACAATGCACTTTTCTCTAATACTGAATCACTATGTACAAACACAGGAAAAGGTGAAGACAAAGTATTTGAAAACAATTACCTTTGTTATAGAAGCAACGTGACCTGAAAAATGCCACCAAAGAAAATGAAAACCCAAACCCAATGAATACAGTTTGTAAACACAAGCATAAACAGACAGATTCTGTATTGAAAGATAGTCTCTGCAGGTTGGGAAAAGGGAACCAACTCCCACTTTCACCGAAATGTTATACGAAAACATATGGGCAGACAGAATTTGGTAACATGAGAATAGCTTTCATAGTTTCTTCTTGGCTTTACCTTTTACTGCCAGTAGATTTCATAACTATTTTAATTTAAAAAAATTAAATATCTCTTTCCTCTATCTAGACAACTAGCATGTTTTCTCATTTGAGGCAGATTCCTTTAAAATATTAAGTTGATTGTGTTCAAGATTTGATTTCTCAGCCTCTTACTGAACCTGAGGCAATTTGACCTTTTTTAAAAAAAAAGCTGTTTACCACTAAGATATGTGTATTGTTTTATTAATGTTCTTTTAACCCAAACCAGTTAATGTTTAACATGATGTGGCTTCTGTAACAGCTGGAGCCCGGCGATATGTGATTAATACACTCTCGTCTCAGAAGCACAGATTTGACTCTGCTCCATCTTCACAAGCAACAGATTTCCTTTCCAGTCTGTAAAAGCTGAGCACACAAAGCAAGAAAAAGGAGCAAACCTGCAACAGCTCCATGCTCAGGAAAACGAAAAGTCCTTGTGGGTTCTGCTGTTGGTCCACTCGGAAACAGAAACAACCAGAGAGAAAGAGAAGAAAAACTTTATGCACCCGAGGTGTAAACTGTAGTTATAGTGTCCCCACTCCAGAAGAAAACAGGAGGCAAAAGATTTTCAATAAAAATCGAAAGTGCTTTTTATACACGCACGCGCGCACACACACGCACAATTAAAAACATGATTCCGATTTGTTGAAAAATTCTTCCAACAGGAAGAATCACTGTAAGTTGTTACTACTAAATTAACTTGGTTTCATTTATTTTCTTTTCTAGCCAATACTAGTGCAAGAAAATATTTCCATTTTCAACCTGGTTAATGTACTGCAGAGTCTGTTCCACTGCGGAAAAAATGCAGAGGCATTGCTTTAAAGCCTTGATCCAGATGAAAGTGATAGAGACCTTAAAAAAAAACCCAAACGTGTATTGGTGATCACTGTTTCCCTTAAAATATACTTCAAGAAATGCAAAAGAAACCATAGAATTTAAAATGAAATAAAAAGTGCTCTCAGGGGATCTGAGAAAACAGCACCAAATATATTATTTAAAAAATTAAATATTATTTACAAAAGTATATTTTACAAGCAACTGTTTCTTTTATATATATCCATTTGAAAATCTCTTTATAAAGGGGTCACCTCTTTTGCACACACTGATCCACCAGTAAAAATGCACTCTAGCCTATCCTCATGAACTCAGGAAAAACTCAGTCAGGTCCAGCTGACAACTTCTGGGTATCAAGTTTGGCTGTATTTGATTAATGTCAAATCAACCCATCGGCAGCCTGAGACTAATGTCCCGGGTCCCAAGGGTCTGGGTCTACTCCAGGGTAGCCAAGGTCATATGACCTAGGGTGGCACAGGGGAGATGGAGCTAGTCTGCCAGCTGGACTTCAGTTCAAAACGAAGGCAGCTGCTGGCTGAGGTATAGAACTTCATGCCTTTTCCTTTCTCACATCTGCTTACCCTGTCTCTACTCTCCACACCCCACACCCCACACCCAAGCTTTACCAACTCCAATTCCCCCAACCCACCTGGGGTGAATGAATGAGGTCTTTGGTTATGCTCTAAGTCAATAATTTGGTGAGGAAATTAAAGAATGAACTGACCGAGGCCATGAGTTAATTTAGCATCTCCATAGCTCAGCTCTGGCCTCTCCAACGCTGCTAAATGTTAGATAGACAAGCCATGAACGGAGCTAATGTTGTAAGAAGCACTTTTGGTTTCATTGACACAAAGGGAAAGCCTAATGAGTTTTATTTTCCCCTGTAGTTATGGAAAAACCAACACTCAGATCTCTCACAGGAAGTATGGTGCCTTGCACCCACTGGAGGCTCAATGGATAGTCATTGAAAAAAAAAACAAAAACAAAAACAGAAAAAAACAGAACCAGGGTCTGACTGGAGCCTGCTCTGATCCATGCAACAGTCAAAGGCCTCATCCCCAAGGAAGAACAGTGGCACATTGGTCTTCTCTGCCCCTTGGAAATTCGAGGGCACCCTATGTCCAGTTTATGTCACCACATTCCATTTTTTGTTTGAAAGACAAAAACACCTGCCCATGTTTAACCCCCATTTTCTTCTTATGGAAAGCACTATCAGGACAATCCCTGAGCAAAGGGTCTAATGAAACTCCACAAAGGAAGAAAGACCATTTCCTTGAGGAAGCGAAGGGAGAGAGGAGGGGAAATCCATGGCTTCTGTGCCGGGAAGCCAGCTTAGGAATGTGAAAGTTGAAAAATGATTTCATTGAGAACTTGGGCCTCTGAGCCAGAGAAACTGGTCTTCTGGGAACAGAAATTAAGTACTTCTTCTGAACCTCAGTCTACCTTGCAGTAAAGTGGGGAGAACAACTTGATCTCCCAGGCTACAAAAGTACTGGAAAGATCCGGAAAAGAGCCTTGGGAAGCAAAACTGGATTTCTAAGAATCCATTTGTCTTACAGGGGCTCTCCCAAGAATCCTGGCGCTATCCTGCTTTCTGTCAGTCCTGCCATCTGCCCCTGGCAGGGCAAGCCCACACCTATCTTGGGTCTCCCATTCCACCATCAGCGCGTGGAGACACACAAAAAAGCATTTCCACCAAGGATGCGCTCCAAATGGAAGCTAGTTCTGCTGCAGATGCGATTCTGAAAAGCTCCTGGGCTGTTGGCTGCTTTAACCTCAGTTCATCAACTTACAGATTCTCCCTATGAACTCATTCTTTTGTGAGACTTTCAGAGTGAATTTTCCGAGAGGGTCAGCCTACTTGGAGAAGGAGACGCTGAGAATTACCTAACATGCGCACGTATCTTAACAGTAATATTTTCGGTCTAAGAAATGAAATTCAGTTAAGTGAGTTTCAGTCATATACTGTGTACTGGCTGAACTGCTGCAGAACAGACTTCACAGTGTTGATTAAATGTAACAAACTCCTCTTTCTCTTATGGGCCTTACCGGGATGTGTTCTCTCCACTTCCCTAATGGAAGGATGTTTGGATGCGGGGAGCGGGTGCTATTAGAATTCAGAACTCCTCCCTGCTGCTGGACCACACTGACAGATTTCTCTCCATGCAAGACATTCTAGCCTACGTAGGGCAATTAGGGGCATGAGGAATCTACCGGGCAGGTTATCACTAAGCTCACAGCCTTGGGCCCATGCTTCCTACAGTCTACAGTAACAGGACTGCAGAAAAACACCTGAAACTCTATCAACAAGAAACTGGCGACCCCACGGAAGCCACTGTAAAGCCGAAGAGGAAAGATGCACAGAGCCTGAATTGGTTCAAACCTAAATCCTTCCTGGGATTACTCCTACCCAGTTCCCTCCCGCACGCACCACACTCCTCTTATGAGGGGTCAGAAGGAAAGGCAGTCAGAATTGCTAACTGATCCTAATTTTTATTTCTCTGGCCCAATACCTGAGCCATTTCTTCAGGCGCTCCCAAGCCGCAGCCCACTTTGTGCCCTGCTCTCCTCAATTACTCACTTTACTCAGTTGCTGGTCAAAGCCTTTGGGATATTTGGATGTTAAGCCCCTTGCAAATGGCAGTCCCCTCACACCTTACCTCTGGTGGCTAAAGTGACAAAGACAATGACCGCCCAGAGACTGAGTGAGGCATGAGAGTCGTCGCACCCACCTGGCCATTGCCCAAGTCACTCGCCGCTGCTGGGACACACCCCCACTCAGCCCAGGGGAGCCAGGCCCTTGCCCCGCCAACTGGAATCAGGGCCACATCTTGTGCTCATTTCCTAGCCTGGCACATTTGGTGTCAGGAACAGAAGCTTCTGGTCAGAGAGAATGCAGTCATGAGGTATTTTTTTTTCCTCTTTGTCCTTTTAGACAAGTCAATTATTTCAAGCCTAAGTTATTAGGTCTCCAGGAGCAGCAGGATTTTGTTCCTACCTCCACCCTTCCACCCCTTCCCCACGCCAGGACCCTTAGAGTTTCCCCTTTCCCTCTTCCTCACGCCCCCGTGTCACTGCTCTCCTGACAAGAAGCCATCAGGCAGCTCTCGCATGGGCCCTGAGGCCCTCACCAAGGTGGGCTGCCGCCATGCGGTCAAGGATCTGTTCCTTTTGTTGTTTTGTTTTCAGCCAAAACTAGAACAGAGGGAGAAGCCAGGATCAACTCACAAACAGATACAAAGCAAAGAGACAGAGAGACAGCGATTTAGAGGCCGGTCACCAGAAAGATGGCGTCAGGGTGGGAGGATGCCCCGGATGGCAAGGCCCCTAAATGGATGGAACCAAGTGTCAGTCACTCTCTCACGCTTGGGAAGAAGGTTCGGTTGAATGGCGTTCACGTGGACACTGGGTTGGGTAGATGTTGTCCAATCAGTCCCAGCCATTGTCCTTGATCATGTGTGCTAGTTCAATGATGTATTTGCCTTCTTTATATTTCTGGCTGCTTTCAAAAGCATGTTCCTAGGAAATACAGAGGAAGAAAAGAAATGCTGAATGACTGAAGAAAATGACTTTTTTTTGAGACGGAGTCTCACCCTCTCACCCTGGCTGGAGTGCAATGATGCAATCTCAGCTCACTGCAACCTCCACTTCCCACGTTTGAGCATAGAGTCTCTTGCCTCAGCCTCGCAGTAGCTGGGATTACAGGTGCCTGCCACCATGCCTGGCTAATTTTTGTATTTTTAGTAGAGATGGGGTTTCACCATGTTGGCCAGGCTGGTCTCGAACTCCTGAGCTAAGGTGATCCACCCGCCTTGGCCTCCCAACGTACTGGGATTACAGGTGTGAGCCACTATACTCAGTCAAGAAAATAACTTTTGTAGCAGAGCAGCAGGGGCAGATGATCAGGGTCACCACAGTCTGGTCCCAGCTTCACCCAGACTCTGTGAGATGACTCCTGTCCCTCAAGCGCTTCATGTCCCCCTTGCTTAGCTACAGAACTAAGGCAACACCAAGACTTTCTCACTATTACAACAGAATTTTCCAGGAGCTTCGCTTACTTAAGTCTTTGCAATGTCACCCTGTCTGTAAGGTCTTCCCCAACTACCCTACTTAAAATCCCAACTTCCATTCCAGCACTGCCATTCGTTCTTCTGCCCTCACCCCTGCTTCAGTTTTCCCCACTGTACTTCTCACTTCTGAACATACATTATCATGTGCATTTCTACTTTATGTATCCTCTGTCTCCCATGACTACAATATAAACTTCATGGAGCACAGAGACGTTCATGTTTAGTTCACTGCTGTAGCCTTAGAAGACTGCCTGGCACAAAACAGAATTTCAATATATCACTGCTGAATGAATTGGTACATTTACATATATAAATTTATATATATATAAATCTTAGCGGACCTTGGTTTCTGGTGCTAATGGAAGTTTGCCCTGTGAATAGATCCATAAAGTTTCTGTGTCATTCCTGCTAGTTTCTAAGAACACAGGAAAGCCTGATTCTAATTTTAAATTGGACCTGTTAGACAGGGAGAGGAACAAAATACTGCGAGGCCAGACAGGTCTCCTTTTCAATCGGGCTTTCTTACTGTTTCTATGTCAGTTACGTGGAGACAGAGCCTGTATGAATTCCAGGCTGGAGAAGCTGGCAGCTCCTAAGCCCCACCCGATTGCCAGGGCTGCAGAGGGAGAACTTCATACTAACCACCTGGCAGATTCCTTTTCTAAACCCACAGCCCTGTGGGCTTTCCCAGCTAATCAACCCCACCAAAAGAAGTCCTCCATAGGCAGAGGATAAAGGGCACTTTTGTTTGCAGAGACAGACATGTAAGCACTTCTTGGTGTATTCTCTGAAAAACACTGATCACCTGTGTCTCAGCTCCATATGCACAAGCAGTGGACATCAGCCTTTCCCTCGGAGCCCCCAGAATTAGTAAGGAACTGAGGCGTCCCCTTGGAGGGCTCTGGGTCACAGCTGTATCAACTGTGTCTTCTGTTCTAGAGCTCAGGGGCTTTGAGTTTCAGAACAAGAGCTCAGGACACCACAGCAGCAATTTCCCTGACACTTCATTATTCCCTGTCTTGGCACACACACATGCGCACATGCGTATATCAACAGAGCAATGTGTTTTGGGAATAAGATCTGTTGTTCCATAGTAATAGTAACGTGTTTGGGGGGCGAGGAGGAAAAAGAAGAAAGCAAAACTAAGAAAATGAGTTTCCTATTATGAAAAAAAATTCGGCCGGGCGTGGTGGCTCACATCTGCAATCCTAACCCTTTGAAAGGCTGAGGCAGGAAGATTGTTTGAGGCCAGGAGTTCGAGACCAGCCTGGGCAACATGGCAAAACTTTGTCTCTACAAAAAAAAAAAAAAAAAATTTGCTGGGTGTGGTGGTGTGCACCTGGGGACCCCAGCTACTCATGAGGCTAAGGCAGGAGGATCATCTGGGCCCAGGAGGTTGAGGCCTCCGTGAGCCAGATTGTGCCACTGCACTCCAGCCTGGGCCCTGTCTCAAAAAATAAAAAATAAAATAAAGTTAAATAAAATAAATCAGCAGTTCTGAGATACACAAGCACTTGGAAAATGTCAGAACAGGATTCCAGTGGAAAGTGTACTAGACCTGGTGTCAACAGAACACCCGACTTATCCTGCGTCTACTGCTTCCCAGCACTGAAGCATCACTTACAGAACTGGGAAACTCACACCTGCTTCACAGAGGTAACGAGGGAATGAAAGGAAAGTGCCCTGGGCCGGCACATAGGAGATAATGGATCTGTATTTGGGTACCGGGTGCTTCCCCACTGTGCTGCGCACGTCACAGTACTTGTCAGGCTGTTTGATCTGTTTTCATGTTGGTTTTCCTCCTCAGCTGGCATCATGACTGTCAGTGCTTTGAGGACAGGCACTGGATGTATTTAGTCAAAGGCTTTTGATAAACCTTTGTCGAAAGAATGAATCATTTCACCTGAACCTCAAGCACAGAGCAAAACCAACCAACTCAGGCTTGCCGTGTATCTACAATCCAACACATCTTTGGGGCACGTGTTGTAAGACAGCCAAGAGTCTGGGAAACAGGGGCAGGGGCAGAGCTTTTCTGTACTTGATCTTAGCCCAAATGCCGAGAAGCGATGGACATTTCTGGATAACCAAAATCAGAACTGTGTCCCCAACCCCAGATCACCCAGAGGGATCCTGTGACTATACAGAGGGAGCAGCATGGCCAAGTCCAGCTTCTCCCACAAGAACAACCAAGCCAACCACAGGAAGCCGTGGCTAACCCATCTTGGCACCATACAATACACTGTCTAGATTTTTTTTTTTGAGACAGAATCTCACTCTGTGGCCCAGGCTGGAGTGCAATGGCTCGATCTCAGCTCACTGCAACCTCTGCCTCCCGGGTTCAAGCGATTCTCCTGCCTCAGTCTCCTGAGTAACTGGAATTACAGGCGCCCACCACCTATCTGGCTAATTTTTGTATTTTTGGTAGAGAAGGGGTTTCACTATATGTTGGCCAGGCTGGTCTCAAACTCCTGACCTTAGGTGATCTGCCCGCCTTGGCCTCCCAAAGTGCTGGGGTTACAGGCCTGAGCTACTGTGCCTGGCCTCACTTTTGTCTGTAATCCTGAACATTTCCAGGAGGATGGGGAAAATGGAATCTAAAGACAGTGTTGCTGGGCTCCACGGCCGACTCCACCTGGGGCAGTTTTTTTTTTTGTTTTTTTTTTTTAATCATGTATATGTGTGTTGTCATTACATGTGAGATGGTTCTTCTAAAGACAGCAGAGAGATAAATCTTGTTTTTTTATATTTTTTTTTTTGTTTTTTTTTTTAAATCATTTGCACATTTCAGACTATTTAAATGGAATCGTAATTCCATGTCTGGCATCTATTGCTTGCATTATTTTATATGTATATAAATATATTTTTTCCAAAAGATGTTATTTTTAGAGCAGCACTAGGGTCACAGCAAAACTGAGCAGAAAGTACAGAGATTCCCCACATACACACTATGCACCTGCAGATTCCCCCACTACCCAAATCCCACACCAGACTGGAACATTTGTTACAACGGATGAACCTACATTGACATATCATTATCACTCGGCGGCAATTATGATGACTCCTTCAGGCTCCTTCAGAAGCCAGAGGCAGGTTGTGAGCCGTATGACAGGATAGGGAATTTGAGACATTTTACATGGACTAAATTGCCTTCCCAAAGACAGGAAGACCAACTTTTCAATATCCTCACAATGATAGGGAGGGCAAGATTGTGCAATGCTTGGATGTACACATACAGGCTGAAAAATATCTGCCAATAACAATAACAGTGATAATTGAAGTTAATTTGCACAGCACATATGCTATACGCACGGGGATGACCTAAGTGTTTTGCAGGCATTATCCTATTTAACACTCAGACCAACTCTGTGAGTACGAGGAAACTTAGCAGAGAAGCTAAGTAGCTTGTCCAAGACACACAGACAAGTCTGTCATGGAGCCCAAATTTGAACCTGCCTCTAGCCGTCTAGATGGTTCTTAACAATAGCTAGAAGGATTTTAGGGGCAGTGTCTGTGGTGACGTGGTGGCCCCAATGCATGTCAGAACTATCAGTCCCCAATGTTGAAGCAGCAGACTCCAGCCCTTCCTTCCTCTCAGTCTAGCAAAGGACTGCTCATTTTTCCTAGGCCCCAAAGGGACCTTTACATTTTTTGCTGAGTTAAACAGTGAAAGAATAATTGTCCATTTGGGAGAGGTCCAGCCATGACTCCATCTGACAGTGGATGTTAATTAAGGCAGTTTTTGATAATGCCTTGCTCAGGGTCTGGGACCTGGGTGTCCTGGGGATATTTATTGGAGAATCGAAGTATAATGGCTTAAGAACATGGGTTCTGCGCCAGGCACGGTGGCTTATGTCTATCATCACAGCACTCTGGGAAGCTGAGGTGGGAAGATTTCTTGAGCTCAGGAGTTCGAGGCCAACCTGAGCAACATAGTGAGACCCTATCTCTATTTATTAGAAAATAAATTTAATATTAAAAAAAAGGGGGGGCACGGGCTCTGTGTCAGAATACTACATGGCCACCTCCTTTGAGAATGAAAAATTTAAAAATAAAAAATAAATAACAGACTATTACTGTTACATGGATTCCTATCCTGGTGTGGCTATTTAACGGCTAGATTACCTTGGACATGCTATTACCCTCCTTAAGTGTCAGTATCCCTATCCATAAAATAGGTGAAGACAGCACCTAAGCTCTAAGGCTGCTGATATATGCCTGCCATATAGTAAGCTGTCGAGAAATGTTATTTGCCATTACTATTATTATTAATTAAATCTAAAGGGGTGTGTGTCTCAGGGGTAGGTGTGAAGGAATGAATAGGAGGAGGGAAATATATCAACAAAAAGGGAAGAGTGAGTGTGGTGGTGTCTATCCCGGTCTAAGACAATTCTACAAGGCCATGGGAAGCAAGTAGAATAAAGCGTTCTTCTAGCATAAGGCTCTTGGCGATTCCCTCCCCAGCCCTCTACCAACCCGTCTCCTTTATACTTACATATTTCCAGCCCAGAGTGGTTTTGCAGTTTTCACAGTAAATGTCTGCGACTGCGTGCAGTCCTGTTAGCAACACTCGCTCTTCTGCAGGCCCACAGCCCACATTAACGCTATGACAAGGTACAAAAAGAGAGAGTGGGTAGTTAGTGACATGCACATCAGTCATTCAAGCTGAGCTTCCAGCAAAAATTAACTGGGCAAGGCTGCCCCAACGGGAGCCCACCCTGAGCTGAGCAGATCTAAACTAACCCCCAAAAGGTGGCCACGGTGGGGAAATATCTCAGCTGGAAGGAAATTCAGAACTGCAAGTTCCAGTGGAGCAGGGATACTAAAATGATCTTTATGGTTGAGAGTTTGCCTAACATCTTAATTTTTCTAACAAATACTTTAAATCTGTGACTTAAGGGGACAAGCCGACAGCCATACGGTGAAGTCCACAGCCATGAGCACTGGTCCTCACAGCTTACTGAGGACAGAATGAAGCTGGAGAGGCCAAACATGACAGCGCAGTCTGGTCCCGATACAGGAAGGAGTGACCCCGGGGTGCTGAATAGGCTCTGCTCCTTCACAGGCGCCCAGCTCAAGCCACATGCACCAGATTTCCATTTTTACATTTATCAGGCTTATGTGGTCTTCATCTTCCTTTCCCAGGGAACAGGTGGTAAACCTGGTGCTTGGGGGTGACTGGGGGCCCTGTAAACCGTGCACCTGCACTAAGTGTGCCTTCCTTCCTCTTCAGGTCCCACAGCAGATTCTGGTGTCTTGTTCACCCCTATTCTCCCTAGTCACACATCTCAGATCTCACTGGAGCCCATGCTGAGGCTCTCAAAATCTCCTCAGCTTCTTCCCTCTGGGACTATAGTCCTCTGATGTGCCCTTTGAGGGGAATGTGGTGAGTATATTATTTTTAGCCAGAGTTGCTGCCAAAAAATGTTCCCCAAAGGTAACTGACTACCAAGTATGGAGAGTAATGCTCCACAGAGTTTTACTGTGGCAGAGAGGGCAGAGTCCATTGTTTAATTATCATCAAGGATTGCTTTTTCCCATCCTTCAAACCTGCACTCTACAAGGAATGTACCATTCAGAGACACTCACACTGAGTTAAAGAGGTATGCTCGTCCTTGACTTCCTTGGAACGACTGAAATGCAAGAAAACAGATCGATAGTTAGACAAGCATTTCACCCACCTGTCTGGGAAACCAACCCCAGTCACAGCAAGCATGACCTTCCAGGACTGACACAGCAAAAGGGTGCTGAGCCAGTCAGTGGTCCCGCTGGCAGATGGCGTGGGGGCGGAGAAGATGGCAGAATAAGCAGCCACAAAGCTCGATACAGCCCACATTGGACTGCTTTCACTAGCCCAGCTGACAAAATGAAAACAAAAACCCAAACCCACTATGTCATTAAAAATGTCTTCCCTCCTGACATCGCCTGATATAATTAATCCACCTGAGATCATTAATCCACATTGGCCTCTCCTGGTCCCACTTTGATTTCAGGCATCTGTGCTGGCCACAGCTTTCCCAGGCTGCCCCAGGCATGGAAACCACCACAAGCACTTTTTGGTCTCTCGGTCCAGCCCTACCCACAGCACCATACTTACCGCTTGTCATGCCTTCTAGAAGATCCTAAGTGCCATGACAGTTTACAATCCTCCTAAATGGGAGCATAGGAGCTCTCCTTTTGAGGTGTAAGAAACTTGCTTTCTACGTCACAGAAATGCTGGTGAAGCAGCAATTCTACTTTCACCTCTAGCTTACACACGAGCTGCTTTCTTCCGGCTGGAGGGCGGCAGGAAACAGGATAAACAGGAGCCAGAGCCTGCCATGCAGTCTGATGTCTGCTTCCACTAACACCAGCCCTGTCCATGTTTCCCTTCTCTGGTTACACTGAGAAGTCTGCCTGACATGAGCCAGCCATGTTCTGCACTGCTGCCTGAATTTTTAATGTGGTCTAACAATGGTATCCTGAATTTAACTTCTTAGTGTGCTCTGAAAACCACTCTAAAAACAAACAAAGGAGGTGAGTGGCTAACAGATGGCCTGAGGATATACAGATCAGCACGCGAAACAATCATTTTTGTCAGATGCACAGGAGATCAGGGACCAGTGCTGCCAGCCAGGGTGAAAGACAAAATTCTTTTTTTTTTTTTTTTTGAGATGGAGTCGCCCAAGTCAGAGGGCAACGGTACAATCTTGGCTCAATGCACTTCCGTCTCCCGAGTTCAAGTGATTCTTCTGTCTCCACCTCCTGAGTAGCTGGGATTACAGGCGTGCGCCACAACACCTGGCTAATTTTTGTATTTTTTTAGTAGAGACGGGGTTTCTCTATGTTGGTCAGGCAGGTCTCGAACTTCTGACCTAGTGATCCGCCCACCTCAGCCTCCCAAAGAAAGTGCTGGGATGACAGGCGTAAGCCACCACGTCCGGCCTCCTTTTAGGGGTCTTGAAACATCCCTGGGGACTATAGCAGCTTCCAGGCTACAAGTGAGCAGCTGTAAGTGTCAAAGCCTCAAAACCTGGCCCCTAGAAGTCCATGCTGAGCGTCTGGATAAGACAATGTCCCAGTGACACAGGTCTAGAACTGGCCCCATTGTTTGTTCAATCTTGGAGCACAAACATCCCTCCCGGGCCCTGCGTCTCCAGCCTCTTCTCTCGCTAATTCCCTATTATGTCCTTCACTCTAGTCTGGCCAAACCACACACAATTCTTGGAAGTTGCATTACACTAACTTTGCCCATGAAGTTCCCTCTGATGGGGAGACTCTTCACCTGACTCAACAAGCCTCAGTTCAGCTCCCCTCTTTCATTAAGCTTTCCCTAACCTCCCTAGAAAAAAGCACCCAATAACACCCATGTTCTGGACTCTTCATATTCCCCACATTTCCTTTTTCTTTCTTTCCTTTTTTTCTCCCCTCGACCCTCCCCCGCCAAGGGATAGAGACTCGCTCTGTCACCCAGGCTGGAGTACAGTAGTGTGATCATGACTCACTAAAGCCTCCACCTTCTGGGCTCAAGTGATCCTCCTTCCTGAGCCTCCCAAGTAACTGGGATCCCAGTTACTAGGACCGACTGACTGGGACCACAGGTGCATACCACCATAACCAGCCATTTAAAAAAAAATTGTTGAGACAGTGTCTTGCCATGTTGCCCAGGCTGGTCTTGAAATTCTGGGCTCAAGCAATCCGCCTACCTCAGCTTTCCAAAGTGCTGGGATTACAGGCGTGAGCCACCGCACCCAGCCTGTTTTCCTCTGTCTTAGCACTAGCATCCTGGATTGAAATCATCTGTTTATTTATCTCACTCCCTTAGCAGACTGTGAGCTCCCTGAAGGCATGGGCCATGTCTTCAGTCTCTCTCTAGTCACATCAGAGGACTACAGTCCCACAGGGAAGAAGCTGAGGTTATTCCCCAACACATAAGCATGTGCGTCTGGCACACAGTAGCCATTTATTAAATATTCTGAATAAACTGTCTCTAGTTTCTTTTCTATAAACAACTTTGCTGAACTTTAAGTGACAGAATAAACAGTACTATTTGAAGTGTGCTATTGGATGAATTTTGGTATCTGTATATACCCGTGAAACCATCACCACAATCAAGATTAAACTACCCATCACACCTAAACATCTCCTCATATCCTTCTGAATCCTCCCCTCATCATCCCCTTCCCACTTAATAGATTCATGGGTAACTACAGCATTCTGTCACTATAATTTGTATTTTCTGGAATTTTTCTGAGACAAGGTCTTGCTCTGTTACCTAGGCTGGAGTACAGAGGCACAATCAGGCTCACTGCAGCCTTGATCTCCTGAGCTCAAGTGATCCTTCTGCCTCAACCTCGTGAGTAGCTAGGACTACAAGTGCACACCTCCATGCCTGGCTAATTTTGGATATTTTGTAGAGACGGGATCTTGCCATGTTGCCCAGGCTGGTCTCAAACTCCTGAGTTAAAGCGATCCACCCAATCTGCCTGCCTCAGCCTCCCCAAAGTGCTGGGATTACAGATGTGAGTCACTGCGTCCAGTCTAGAATCTTTTAAATAAATGAAATGTATTTTCACTTACAGTGTATATGTGTTTGTCCAACATTTTTCACTCAGCACAATTCTTTTAGGATTCATTCATGTTGAACATATCAACAGTGTATTCCCTTTTTGTTGCTGAATAGTAAGTATTCCATTTGAAGGATATCACAGTTCATTTATTTTTGGTTTGATCTTAAGAGATTTGGACTAGCTGACCAAGTTCCCTTCTAGCTTCAAAATTATGTTCTTTTATGATTCCATTGTCCTAAGTTACAGGTTTTGCAGTGTCATCCTCTGAGAAACATTTGCTAAGACCTTCAAGTTCAGAGCTTAGAAGAAGGTGGCTACTAGGAAACAAATCGCAGAAGAAAGTGTTCACTTATTTCTCCTCACTCCTAGGGAGACAGGCATCCCTGTGAGACTTACCAGGGCAGCGGTATCCCAACAAGGTATGCAAGACAATCCCCTAGACAACCCTTTTCCCCAGGGCTGGGAGAAAAACACTAGCTCATTTTATATATTTTATCCTTAAAAATAAGTAAATAAATTATGGATTGCCACTAGGACCTTCCCTGGGCTAGTATGCGTCCTGTATGTATAGGTTTCTGGAGGGAAGGGAGGGGACAAAGGGGTTCTTCTTCTGCCTTTGCTTTCAGCATATTTTGAATGCTGCTGTTTCTGTGAATATGGCTAATCTTATTTAAAACAAACAAACAAACAAACAAACAAGATATTTAAATAGCAGGATCATTGCAATTTTTTGCATATGAGATGGAGTACTTCAAAGGGGTTCACTTACAGTAAAGTACCTGAAACGTGCGCTATAGCGAGAACTGGCTTTTGTCACTGTTTTCACCTTATATTACTTTTGTGGCTAAAAAATGATATGCTTGTACAAAAATTAATTTGAAACAGAAGACATTTAGAAGAAAATCTTTGTGACCTCGTGTTAGAAGGGAATTCTTAGATACACCAGAAACACAAACTATAAAAGAGAAAAAAACTGACACACTGAACTTCATGAGAATCAGTATACATTAGAATGGTTAAATCTGTTTCTTTGACTGACAAAACCAAGTGCTGGCATGAATGTGTAGCAGCTGGAACTCGCATACGTTGCAAAATGGTAGAGCAACTTTGGAAACGACTCTGGCAATTTCATTTACCCAAGTGAAATGAAAGCCTATGTTCACACAAAAACCTGTATGAGAGCGTTTTTAACCACTTAATTCATAATCGCCCCATACTGGAAACAACCTACATGTCTCAGTTGGTAAGTGGATAAATAGTCTGGTATATCCATATACGACTACTCTGTAATAAAGAGGAACAAACCATTGATATACAGAACAACATGGATGAAAGTGAAACACATTATGCTAACAAGATCAGTGGCTGCCAGAGGTTAAGAATGTTTAACTGTAAGAGTTAATGAGAGATGAAATTGTTCTGTTATCTTGGTAACAGAAGAACAGTACTCTTAGGCCACATAACAAGAGTCTTATAATCACTATCAGACTATATATTTGTAAAAGTGTAAGTCTAAGTAGACTATAAGACTCCAAGGTTCTGAGACTATCTATGTTAAAACTCATCACTATTCACCAAAGAGTAAATTTCACTGCGTGTAAATTTAAAAATAAAATGTTTAAAGTTCAATAAATTTGTAAAATAATAAGCCACCTCTAAAACCTATGCCTGCATACTCTATTCCTATATCTGTACACTTAGGAATTATAAGCAATTCCCTAATCTATTTAAAACTATTCCAAAGAGTTTCAGAGGGGTTTAAACCCTTGTTCATTTTCATATTTTTTAATTATGTTTTAAATTATATTTGTGGCCGGGCACAGAGGCTCATGCCTGTAATCCCAGCACTTTGGGAAGCTGAGGTGGGCGGATCACATGGTCAGGAGTTTGAGACAAGCCCAACCAACATGGTGAAACCTCGTCTCTACTAAAAATACAAAAATTAGCCGGGCGTGGTGGTGCATGCCTGTAATCCCAGCTACTCAGGAGGCTAAGGCAGGAGAATCGCTTGAATCTAGGAGGCAGAGGTTGTGGTGAGCTGAGATCATGCCAGTGCACTCAGCCTGGGCAACAGTGTAAGACTC